GAGTAAATCGGATGTATTAAGAAACGAAAATGAGCGCAGGGCCAAATTGCAGCCCGCGCGAGGGATATGGAAGGCCAAAGAGCCAAAAACACGTGAATTTTAACGCGTCAACAACGCGTATTTCACACGTAAACAACACGTATTTAACGCGTTAAATACGTGTTGTTTACGTGTGAAATGCGCGTGTTTAACGCGTTAAAATTAATGTGTTTTCGGCTGCTTGGCCTTCCATAGAGGGAGCCCGCAGTGTCGCAGACGGACCGGTAGGAGGCGCTCGTCCGTGCAGCGCTCACCTCTCTGCTCCGAGCGCTCGCTCTTTCCACAGCACGTTGTCTGTGCGGCCTCGACTTCCTTTTCTGTGCGGATTTCATGGCGAGCCATACAACACGTATTTAACGCGTTAAATACGTGTTGTTTACATGTGAAATGCGCGTGTTTAACGCGTTGTTGACGCGTTAAAATTAATGTGTTTTTGGCTGTATTGCCTTCCATAGAGGGAGCCCGCAGTGTCGCAGACGGACCGGTAGGAGGCGCTCGTCCGTGCAGCGCTCACCTCTCTGCTCCGAGCGCTCGCTCTTTCCACAGCACGTTGTCTGTGCGGCCTCGACTTCCTTTTCTGTGCGGATTTCATGGCGAGCCATAGCGCGGAAGAGTTGATTCGCCTACCGTGACCACACCGACCCGTGCGTCAACCTCCAGAAACGCGTTTTTTTCGGGTGAGTGGGGCGCGTTACCCTGCTTTTGGATGATCTTTGAGCCATTACTCGCATCAGACTGTCGACTGTGTGTGCTGTGAGCCTGCCGTGTGTTATTATGACTCTACCTCTCACTCTCTGTGTTTAATGTTTGGTAACGTTAGCTCAGTTAGCAAGCAGTCCAAGCGCCTTTCTCAGTGTGTGTGTTTACAGTCAGAGAAGCAACGAGAGACGAAAGCGGTTAAAAACCACAAATAAGCTCGTGTGTTTCGCTCAGCGTGTGCTTTTGGGGGTTCATCGTGCAGTCAGTTGCATTGTTTCTTGCTGCATGTGCTAATTAGCTAGCACAGGGCTAACTGAAGAACTTGCAGCGAGCGAGCGACGCGACAAAACTACAACGCCCCCGTTCAAACGAGCGAAACAAACCGCTGATTTGCTGGGTTTAACGCGACTCTTCGAGCGACCCGACGCCTCGCGGGGTTTGTAAACATTTCACATCATTTGCGCGCTCTTCTGTCGCTTTTCCTTCCCTGCTTCACACGGACTTATGAGCAACAACAGCGAGAAATGTTTCAAAGAAACGAGACCGAAGTTAATCGCGAAGTGCTCACGATGCGGTTTCCGAAAACACGTTCATTTGTTTATTCATTCGCTCGTTTTACAGAGTTATTTAGACTTTACGTATCATTTCAGTGAAATGGTCCTAAATAAGTGAGTTTAAAACTAACGTTAGATGAAGCCTCTCTGAGGCGCTACAGCATTAAAGCTAGCGAAGCATCTCTTTCCGAAGCCTCAGATGATACTGTGAATGTCTGTTTTATAGTTTTTATTGTAAAAGATGCTGTTTCTAGGCTCTGTTCTTATAACCAATGCTTGTTTAACGTTAAGGTGTGATTTTCTCTTTCAGCTGCCGTTATAAAGGCCGTGACGTCAGCAGGGTGGTTGGCTGGCTTTGACGTCATCAGGTGGGTAGTTTAATTATTTGACATTTTCCCACCACTATCTTTTAAGTACCAGTCATTTATGTGGGCGCAGGAGAACCTTTTCTAGAATGAGTAGTATTTTACACTAGACGAAGTGCATGAGCTTGTTTATTCTGGCGTGATGGTTGGATGTGGTGTGTGCTCAGTAACTGAACGCTTTTGGTCTGAAGCTTGTAACATGCGAAATTCATCTTTGCAGGTGTTTTAAGGATTTTTGGGTGGTTTCTGGACTGAACGCTGTGCTGTGTTCCCTCACCCTCTCTTTCGGCGTGTTGTGGCTGTAGCTGGTATTACTGAAGAACTGCCAGTCGATGGCTCTGATGGACAAACACAAAGTGAAGCGGCAGAGACTGGACCGCATCTGTGAAGGTGAGAAGATAAGACTAATGCAACTAGATGAGATGGATAAAAATAGATATGATTGACTATCAACAACCCAGGTCTCTTTAAAGTCAACATGAAATTACATTTGCACCACTTTACATCCATAATGTGGCTTGTGAAACGAGATACTCCAGGACAAAATGTAGGGTGGGACTTGATTTCATCTGGAAATTGATTGGGTTTGTTGAAAGTGGGTGTTACATAGTTATCAGTTAACTGCAGACACCTGTCAAGATATTATGTTTTGATGAAAACAATGTATCTCTTTGTTTTAATGTGCACTGATGGAACTTTCGCAATAAGACCATTGAATGTAATGTTGGCTTTCAGATGCACAGGCCTGGAAAGCATTGCATTTCAAGTCTTTCGCTGAGCTTCAGAAAGTGATGTGAAGTTTCACTTTGTAATTTGAATTTGCCACTGTAGTTAGTCAGATTTGCTTTATTTGACATGTATGCATTCTTAAATGTATTCTTATACAAATGTTTATAGAGTAGACCTAGTGGGGCTGCCCCCTAATAGTGACTAACCATTAGTCAACGAGAAGAGGCTTATTAGTCGCTTGGTCGCAGAAAAAAAATTCCACAGGAAGTGGCGAAGTCACGTAGTCCATGACGGACATCCAAACGTTCGTTTCGTTCATCGACCTCAAATGTGGCTTATCATCTGAAACATGTAAGTAGTAGTAACATTACATGGTTAACATTACGCGCTAACGTTAACCTAGAAAAGTGTGTGCTATTAACGTATTTGTGCAGAGTGTGGAAGCTGAATGGTAGTGCACTCACTGTATGACCGTTAACTTGGAGGCACCGGTGCGATCATTTGCATTTAACTTAAAATACTCTGTCATTTTTGCTCATACAGAGTAATACATCTTTTGAATTTGTAAAAGGTTTACTTTTATGTGTGTGCACTCACAATAACAGAACGTTGTGCTTTTGTAAAATAATGAAAGCAAACAAGGTGCGCTTTCTGCCATCTAGGTCTCTGTGAACTTGAGCACGTCGAAAAAAATGAACCGAAACACTGTGCTTGCTTCACAGACATGAGAAATATATCTATAGAAAGTGTCGTCGACTTCACTGCAGCCGAAAATGCAGAAAACACTAGCTTATCAATGAATTATTATAATGTTAAGGCAGTCTTCTTGCTATTTTTTCTCTCACGCATTCATAATCATTACTTCTGCCGGTGTGCTGTGGCAAGTTTTATCCATGCGCTTGAGCGCTGATAGGCTATAAGCAATTAAAGGCTCATTGTTATGAATTATATGGTTTATTAATATAAACGTGCGATTAGTTTACTAATTGCTAAAAGTGAACGACTACTAGTCGACTAGAAAAATCTTTGGTCGAGGGCAGCCCTATAGAGTAGTGATTAATTATTTTGTGTGTGTGTGAACCTTGAGCAGGGCTTAACGTTCTCCGGCACCATGCCGGATCTCCGGCATGCAGCATTTGGCTGCGGGAAAAAAGAAACCTACATTAAAAAAAAAAACTATCACTTTCGAGTCCATGAGTTTGCCTACCAGTGGTACTAGAGGAGCACAGCTTTCACTCTCAAGCAAATTATCATTACTAGCCAATCAGAATTTTTTTGCTCTTATAAACACGAGACGCGCATAATAGTATCCAACTGCAGAGTCGCAGCCCTGATGAATGGAGAAGTGCGACACGTTAAAAAAGCTGCGAGGCGCAATGGTCAAAGATGTCCATCTAGCGCATATTTACATAGAAAAACTTAATTAAAAAGCAGCGGAGCTTTGTAAACGGCTCAGAGTAATCGCGTCATCTCCATAAGAATGATATGATTGCCAGAACAAATTTACCGGGATTTTTGAAAAGGTCCTGTTCACACATGATCTCTTAATGGTAATTTACCAGTAAAGACTGTATGTGTGAAAAGGGCTAAACTCTTCCTCTGCATATGCTGTGAATTTGAATTGCTTAACGTTCATCTGTGAAAACAGTAGGGATGTAACAATTAACCGCGAGCCGGTTGAAAATAGATTTAAATATGTGACTATTCAAATCGGTTGAGATGGGGTAGAGATTAGGGGTAGTTTATATGAATGTATGTCTGAGGGGAACTTACTGTCTTTAGAAAAGTTTAGATGGTATTTTTTCTTTTCATCTTGCCTCTGTATAAAGCATATTAAAGTTCACAAGTGCAGCGCTGCTTTGTTTACAGCGGAAACAAAGGAAACGCTTTAAGCGCCACCTGCTGGCAAAGAGTGAATCTGCGTCTCGTTCGGCTCGTCTGCTGTTTCTGTTTCATGCAGATATTTATGTATAGTTTCACAAAACTGAAGTCAAACCATTCTGTTTTTGCTTCAAATTTCGAAATGATACAATGCAATTTAGATTAAAAACTGCTCATGTTGCATGTATGCAGCATCTTTGTTTGGATCATGATTCAAATGCAGTGGTTGCCTCTAATTTTAAATGGAAAGAGCACAGACAAAGCCTTAGTTTGTTTATATGAAGAGATTTATTTTATTTGTTACTTATTTATTTGATTTGGGGCTTGTTTTAAAATTTCAATTTAGTTTTGTTATTTACATTTACATTATATTTAAATTTTGCCATTTAGCAGACGCTTTTATCCAAAGCGATTTACAAATGAGGACAATAGAAGCAATCAAAACCAACAAAAGAGAAGTAATATGCAAGTGCTATATTAGTTTATTATAGTGTTATATTTCAATTTCACAAAGAAATGTGCAGAATTTTGTCCAAGCAATAATAAAAGGACACATTTAATTTATAATTTGTCTTAAACCTCATTTCATTAAAAAAATCATGAATCGAATCGTGAAATCAAAATTGTGAATCGAATCGTGAGTTGAGTGAATCGTTACGTCCCTAGAAAACAGTGTGCATTATCTCACTAGATTAACGTAACGTAAATCATTTATAAACCTTTGCCAACACAGGAGAATACATCAACCTATTTCTAAATATGCCATTTATTGTACATCGCGATTTCAAAATAAAAATGTCTGAGTTTGCATGTGGCCAAATGTGAATATTTAATGGATTTAAACATCATTTAATCACACTGTAAAGTGGAATGTCACCAGGCTGTTGGTGACCTCTGCAGGTATTTGTTATAAGACATAATGTACTCAAGTTGGTTATGTTCATATTATGTATAGGCATATTAAATTATGTATTTTAACAGTGTTGTTCAATAAAACCATGTAATTACTTTATTTGAGACAATTATTATTGCCTCATTGTTAGTTTATATATAAATAGTCATACTAAAGCCTGGTTTTCATTTAGGTCTGTTTGTTACTAAAAAATATCAGATTACTCTGTTGTCAAAATAATCAGTAGGTTACTCGATTACGAAAATAATCATTAGTTACAGCCCTACATTAGTTAAAATATTTCAAAATACAACTGCATTGTTTTACTTTTTGACACATATTTTGTCATTGGAAAATGTCTTAAAATAGTATTAAAATATTGTCTCGTTCTAGTGAACCAAGTATCTGTATTTTGTCTCATCTTGTGAGCTAAGTGTATTGTCACACCCCTAGTGTCGATAAGCGGTGATATAGCTCATAAATTTCCAAGTGTATGATATAGCTTTCATTCTTCAGGTCAACCATATATTCATGAAAAAAAAAAGTCAGTTTAAATAAGGAAAGCAATAACTTTGCAATACTATCCTTTCAAATGTTAAAGTTGCTACAGTCATGGCATGCTTTGCATGTGCTGCCCCATCCCCCCCGCCCCCGGAAAAAAGCTCAGGATTTTTTTTTTTTGCTTTAACCCCTGCTTGAGTGAATCATCTGGCACGGTCAATACTGTCAGTGAACTAGCAAACACTGAGTGTTGGGTGGGTGATATGGTTGTTTCTCGAATGTTTGGCATGTTTGTCTGACAGATACAGGAGTTGCGAGACAGTTTGAGCTCTGTTTTCTTATCATTCCCCCGTCTGTCTGTGTGCGCCGACACGGGCAGCTCAAACACTCACACTGCTGTTATTAAACACCAGCGCCTGTGTGTACTTTATTAAATAGTTCATTACTACTGAATAAACTTAACTCCTGTCCATTGACACTTTAATACAATCAAGGGAAAGCTAGTTCTTTAGATTTGGTAAATGCAGTCTCATCTCATAAAGATGCTCATTTGGAGGTGTGTAATGAACAAAGGGGGCAGGCTGCATATTAATGAATCAGCGCGCTGTATATTGTAGTCCCTTTTATGTTTTTGGCATGTGTAACTACTCATCATCAAAGAGGAACTCTGACGCCACAGATGTATATGATGTTGATTTTAGACTTGCTTGCTAAAATTTAAATAGGACCTTATTTTATGGCCCCAGTGTTTGATGGGTAGTAGTCGGATCAGTGAAATGTGCAGTATCTATTTGGCATTACATCAAGATTGACTGAACACTGGATGTAATTCTTCATCAACAGGGCTCCAGACTGCGACTAAAACGGTCGCATTTGTGAACAAAAATATTAATTTACGAGTGAAGTGTTTGATGAGGTTGCCACTGGCGACTAGATATTTACGTTATGACTTAAAAATTTGCATGTAATGCCTTTTTTCCTGATTGTTTTGCGATCGCATCATTTGCTATGTTCACGTATTAAACTGAGATGATGCGCATCAAAGTATTAGTGGAAAAAAGGAGTTTCAAACAGTCCTCTCTGCAGCACAGCAGCGCTGACACACACCTGATAAAAGCAGCTCAGCTGTACAGCGCGAGAGAGATTGAAATGCCGGAGACGTGCAAGTAAAAGTGTGGAAAAGCAGAGTCTATTTCGTGCACTTGAACAAAGTACAACAGGTAAAGCTGTCAGATGTGTGGATATTGGCAGTATCTTTAACAATTCTCGTTTATAATCCTTACTAATATGGCTTCTTCTTATCAAGATCTTAGTCTATATGCTGTGTTCTGTTAATGCGTGAACTTCATATTATTTGAAGCACACTTGCTGTCCATTAATCGCAAAATGCTTTGTTACTTTTTAATAAACAAAGTATCAACTTTATAATTATGCCAAATTCATAACGAATTTCAAACAATAAATACAGTTTTGGCGCTCTTTAATGCAGCAGGCGCGATCGCTTTAGCGCCTCAGTTCAAGCGGCAAGTGAACCCATTATATCCTTCTCTTTACTACTGTAGTACATAATGAACATGAATTAACATCAAACCGTAGCCTATTTTATAAGAAAGCCTACAGTACAACTTACTGAAATGTCTCATGTAAAAGCTCAAACTGCGAAAAACGTGTAAAGCTTGTAAACATTGCAACATAATATACATTTACCTCAGAATAACCATTCGGTACCCATAAGCTCATCAGTCAGCTAGAAAATAACTATAAAGAAGAGCATTTTGCTATATTTATGCGCTATTGGATGTTAATATTTTACTTAACCTGTTGTCTACATGATTCAACTTCTCCTATACAAAATTGCATTTTACTAATGAAGCAAAACAGACTGAATGTGTGAACGACATATGACAACACTTATAGGATGCACTGAGGAGGAGCCCAAACTACACTCAGTGGCCAAGTGATGCTTATGGTCCATACTATTTGTACAGATTCTGTGTCATGAACAATTCTTTGTGACCATATATTTCAAGTTGGAAAAGATGTTTAATTCCCACTTTAAGTTAACCTTAGTTCCCAGGTCATCTGCAAGATCGATTAAAATGCTGATAATTTTAAGAAAAGATGAGACATTATCACATGAAAGTATGATTGAAATGTTAAAAAATAATAATAAAATAAATAAAACACGTTTATTCTGTGGCACCTAAAAAAATAATTTTGTGACTAAAGTTTTTCTTATAGGAGCCAATGGCTCCTTACTCAATTTTTTTTTGTTTGGAGCCCTGATCAAGTTGCAATTCATTGGCGACAATTTGGGAAACGTCTCGCTACACTGCATATCGTGATTTATTTTTATTTATTTATTTTTTCAGCTTTTGGCCTGCATTTACATGCCCTGTAATTTAAACTTTGCAGTTGATATAAATGCCATGAAAATGACCATATTTTGTCTATTTGGTGTAATGAAATGTGTTTATGCGGTTTAAGGTTCAAAAAACACATTATTTTCCACATACTAGATTAAAATGCCTGAATCTTCCAGTAAAAATGTTTAGACTTTTGCAGGACTCTCAAGTCATTTGTATTCTGCAAAAATCCTTGCTCTTGTAAGTTCGCCTTCATCTGCCTCCACATCTAAAAAAAACCAAGAATCAAGTTCCCACCCTATAATTTTATTTATTTTTTTATTAATCTTACACTCAAATATACATTAAAATGCAGAAGAAAAGATCTGTCGCTTCTGTTACATTGCAGTTTTATAACAGGTTACTACTTTGTTCTGGCAGTCGGATGACGCTTAATAAATTTGCTTGATAGGAGCTTTAATTTGTGTCCCTAATAGTTTTATTGTGGTAACCATTTTATAAAAGCAGTAAGGCCTTAAAGGCTGTGCTGTATTTAAAGATGAGAATTAAGCATTTACTGAATGCAAGAATACAGAATTCAACATTGGCTGAAGGCAGTCATTACAGAGCAAAAGAAAACATGGAAATGGTTCTCGATTTCCACCCTTAGCTCACTTTGTGCCCTTTCCAATGACAGTGTTAACCATATGGCACAGCCTCTTGTATTTTATTGCTTAATTGTGGCATTTTAAATGCTAATCCAAATAGGGAGAGTGTCATGTGCTGTTAAGCAATTTACATAGAAATTGTAAGCGGCAGCTTCACTGTTGCAAGTCCCATCAGCTGTTGCCTCGGGTCAAACCTTTCTATTAAGCAAAGCAAGCCGTTTTTGTATGCAGATAAAAATCCTGTGAGAATATTTAGTGTGTCATTTGCTCAGGGAGTAAAATTTTTGCATTGCAAAAAATGTGCTTGTCTTAAAAAAAAAAAAAAATCTTGCTGATCATTTTCCAGATAATTAAAGTCAGTTTTATGGCTACAGCTGCAGATGACAATGATATTCATCCAAGTGACAGCAAAAGAGAGAGCGGAGGGGGCAGGTGGAGAAGATAACGGAGGTGTTTCTTCAGAAGAGCAGGGTCATGTAGATGTGAGCAGAATGTGACTGTCTCTTTAAAAAAACCGACAACTGCCTAACTGCGTCTAGTGCTGCTTGTCAGTGCCGTGGAGGTTCGTGCTGGTTGGCCAGCACTCAAAGCCCAGGCCTCTGATTGGACTGCTGCTGCGGGGGAGGGGCCAGTGTGGATGACATGGGAGATGGGTGTCTGCCAGGCAAAAACAGCCTGACACTGATTGTAAGGGGTGGAGAGAGAGAGCGATAGAAGGAGAGGAGGGGAGAGAAGACAGGCGCGTGGATTTCATGATGCAAGGTTTGGACCTACATGTACCTGTTTGATGTTACGTGTGTGTGTTGCTTCGAAGATGCAGTAATTCACATGGGTGTGGTGTCAGAAGCAGGCGTAGTTTTCTTTTTTGCCGCGTCTAGTGCGTGTCCTTGCAGCTTGAGCAAGTGTGTGTGTGTGTGTGTGTGTGTGTGAGAGAGTGTGTGTGAGTGTGTGTGTGAGTGTGAGCAAGTGTGTGTGAGTGTCCAGGTTACATACTTTTTAGGTTAAACCAACAGTATCGTTTGTCAGGTTGGGGGGGTTGGGGTGGACCCTGGAGTTATTAGGAGCTGTTGTCTTGCCTCATAGGCGTAACAATCATAAAATTGTTTCCTGGAATTTGAGGCCTCTAACATTCAAAATGTAACAAAATTCTCTGTGGCATCGCAGTAGTTTGGAGTCAAGTGATATAGACTTTTGTTGATGTAAATCTTCTATATGGTAGAAATGCTGATAGTCTTGAAAGGCTTGGAAATATTTGGTTTTGCCTCTCATAATGAGTTAGGCTGGATAGTTATTGAATGCTGCTTAACTGTTGGCCAGCATGGCTCTGAGGAAACTGAAAGG